GTAATTTGGCGTTCGATATCACAACAGAATAGTTTTATGAATGAATAAACCTCTCTATCAAATCTAAATAGGTTAAAAGAAATTTGCATTCTTTTATTTTCTTCGTCATCTTCTTTTTGAGAGTTCGATAATATCCTTTTGATTAAAAAAAAATTCTTCCTATTCTATTTCAAATAATAAATCTCTATAAATATAAGAAAAATTTATTCGTGAGGAATAGATAGTACTCCTTTTGAGTGAGAATATATGACAAGTCTTCTATTTAATACTAATGAGAAATGAAAAAAAAAGAACGTTCACAAGTAGTTCATCTCGTTCTTTCTTCATATATAAAAAGTGTTCTAAGGAGAAAAAAGACTACTGTATTTTTCAATTAGAAGTGGCTTATTTTTGGAAACATGCAAAGATATTCAAAAAAAAAATTTTATCATCCTTAAATCCATATAAACATATTCAGCTCAGAAATAAAGATAATAAAATGTATGTTGCTTGTAATCGGCAAATGTTTTTTGCACTGTTTGGTATTTTTGTAGCTTTCTGAAAAAAGTCTTCAACTGTCACTAGACTTCTGTATCCTACATCCCTGTTTATTTTCATTGTTTTTCATTTGTCATGGCCTACCGAGTTAAAATTCAATCAAAATTCTTAGAATCTGGTCTATTTTCATCGGAATCATCTAGCCTATTATGACAAATACTGATTTTTGTATCAGGCAGGATACGGTTTATTTGTTAAAGATTACAAGTTGAGCTGCTTCAGTTAGGGAAGTCTCTTTTCAAGAAATAACATTTTCTTTTTTAATATTTGACTAACGATTTTTGATAATGATAGTTTCGATAGATTCTATAAAATCAGACAGTCGAATTCGTTGGTGAGTTTTTTCGAAATACTAAAGAGTTAGATTATTAGAATTAATATTTCTAAAGAAGTTGATCTATAAGATTATTTTAGTGTTTAAATTTTAGAACACTTTGTTGTTTTTAACACTTACTTCAATTATCATACATAGGTTGTAATAAAAGTTTAGTATCATACTTGTGTTGTTTTTGTTGATTGATATTACTCTTTGTATTCAAGTTATTTAACTCTTTGATTATCGATAAAAGATAAACATACGTCAGTAGAAAACTTCTGTTGCTTGACGTAGACATTTATTCAAATACATCTAATAAGCATATATTATACATGATTGCATTAGTTTTAAGGGATGGTTAAGTTCATGCCGCCTATATGCGTCGTCAATAACCAAAGGTTTAATGTACGGTACACAACAGCAATTATTTGTCTGTCCATTTTCGTATTATGTTTAAAGGTGCAGTAGTTCTTTCACAGTAATATAGTATAAAAAATGATGGATAATACATTGGATGGCAAGTAGTACAAACTGGTGTTCATGTTATAAGTATCTTCTTGGTACTATTATGAAATATAGTGCAGGTTTTCAAGTTCATACAGCTTCTGGGCGATTATTAAGTGAAGATCTATATATCTTAAGTTTTAGTATTAATAACAATGCATATTGTAAACTTAGCATCTAATTTAATAACGTCAAAATCAAAAGATATTATCTCTGAAACTGATGATATTAAAAATGAAAAAATTATTATTGAGTCGTATTGGTATTTTTGAGGGATGATTATTGAAAGACTTTTATTTACATGAAATTTCTTAAGACAGTCAAAATTTTTAGCTCTTTAAATCATAAAACGAATTATATGGCACCTTATTAAATAATGTTATTGATGCATCGATGTTAGACATTCGTTTTTCTGAGAGTATGCAGATAACAAAATCTATTGTAATCTAACTCTTGTTGAAATAAATTTTAATTGTAGTGCATATAGTTTTTGCTATTTCTAAACAATGGTTATATGCAAAAGACTTAGATGCCATTATATTATCATTAAGAGAATCAAGTATTCTTAATGATTTAAAAAGAGAATATTTTGAAGGAAATTTTGGTCAAGATTCATTTTCATTGAGTACTTCTACTAGTATAAATATTGTAGTAATGAATAACTTATTTCTTACTTTTACAATCATAAATATTCTATTCTTATTATTATTTGCATGGACGAAATGATTTGTTCTAGAAAATTATCTATGAGTATTAACATAAAAAACGAACTTTTAACCAAGTAAAAGATCTTGGAGATAAGCCGTTAAATCAAAACTTTTTCTAAGTATACTCACGACTCTCTAACAGCTTTGCCGGATGTAGTGTGATTTTAGTCACAAAAGAGGCTTTATGTGAATGAACTATCCTACATCATTCATTTATAGAACCGGCTTTTCTTTTGTAATTAATGAAAGACAAGAAAATTTTCTGACAATTCATATTGTGCATAATTCAAGACAAATCAAATAATTGTTTCGTTGTCTTTCTACATTAATCAGTATGCATCCATTTTGTAGTTATCGATCACTTCCATAGAATGATTATTGAAATCATTACATATCTAACATGTAGACAAAGTAAATCACAATAAAATATAATTTAAGCGATAATTTTTGAGCCAATTGAATGTAGAAAAACGAATGAGAGAAGATGATCAATGTGACAATTCAAGTAATGTCTAGTACGTAGATGTAAATCTAACATCATCTCATCAGATCCTAAGTATCATCGACGGTTTTTCACTTGTCAGATTTGACATGTGACAATTTCCTATTGAAATCTGAGTCTGGAGATTATTCGATTTGTGCAGCACGAAAAAGTAAAATTTACTTTCTGACATCGGTCGAGATCCACAGAAGAGATAAAAATATTTTTTTTTATCACTAAAGACTTCTGTCTTCATTGAAAAAAATAGAAAACTACACTAAAAATGTATTTTGTCTATACAGAGGTGAATGACATTGTACTGTTAATTGTACAACTACTAAGTTAGAATTCAAATAAATTCTTTTTAAAATAGAGAATATTTCGAGGTTGTATAGCTCAGTGGTGTGTATACACAACTTCTGATCAATTTTCCTCATGTTCAAGTATAACTTTAATCATTGAAGTACTTTTTTATTCCATTTTCTAGGATAGGTTACGGTCATCATAACATGACTTTCGTGTCACCTCTATTCGAATCTGAAATAGAGTATGATTTAGCCTTTGAATTTTAAATATCCAATCTAGAACGTGACTTATTGCATAAATGCGTTCGAATCTGGTTGAATTTCAAAACACATTTCGAACGTACATAGAAGGTGATTCTGGCAGATTAGACTCAAAAAATATTTATATGGATATGATGATAAATCCTCTTCTTGAGAGGATTTCAATTTGCTCTTAGATTTTTTATTGATGATATTTGAAATCATAACATTACTCTCGGGGAAAAACATGATTTATCCACCATTACATAATGATAGATCCCAAGAAAGACAAAAAAAGTTAATTTGATGTTTTGAAAATCACCATACAAATCAATAAATCTCATCGCAAATGATTCTATGAAAGTCAGTACCGCGTCGATCCATTTACCAGTTATCAGTACTATCCAGTTGAGTTTTTATAATCGGCCGATTTTTTACTGGTCTTTAGTGGTCTGTTTATCAAGTCCAAAGTTTTCAACCAAAAAACTTCTAGTCGTCATCAACATCTCAGCTTTAAATTTTGAAATCAAACTTTTTCATTCTATAACGATAACCTCAAGAGTGAGAGAGTAACGACAAGGATCTTCTTTTCTCTTTCAATTACAGCTCATTTCTCATTCTTTTCTTACCCGACCATTATTCTCATAATCAGTTGTTATTCATAAAGTATATCCGATTATATTTCATATGGAAAAAACCCTTCCAACAGAGTATATTTCTATCAGAGCCTGAAATAAACCGGAGTTTTCGGGTTCGGGTTCGGTTCGGTTCAGTTCAAATCGTATCTATTCGAAACACCGTATAATAATGCTGAACAAGTGCAATGAAATCGTAACTTCTAGTAACCTTACTGCCTATCAAGTGATGTTTTTGCTCTGAAAGAATAAGAACACTTGTGCACTAATTTGAAATGGTTTTTTTTCAATTTTGTTCCTAAATAGTACGTTGACGACTATTCATCGCGTTGAATACCAATGAGAAAGAAAGAAGAAAATAGTTCATTATGAATTAGCTTGCGACCGATTGACTGATCGTCACAATAAACAACGAATCCTATTGATTACAAGACAAAATAGCAATTCCATTATGCTAAAAACTATTATACTGTATAACACAATGAATAAAAACTCGTGGCAGTCCTCACCAGCTCAATACATTCTAAGTAAAATATATTGTATAGTGGAAATGATTATTTTTGCTTAGATTTGGCTCAACTAATAGAAAAGTCGGAAATCAGTTTGGCTTCGGTGCGTTTTCGAGCTCGACACCACGATTCTTAAAAAAAAACATCAGCTTGAACGGTTTACACTTTTTTCAGACATTGGTATTATTTGTCATCAAAAATATCAACTAATACTTTAAAAAAATGTCGATTTTAATATATCAGAGCATAGAATATTACATGACGCGGACTAGTGTTGTAGCGCCATCTTTAATCAATAAAACAAACCTTGAAGTTGGACGAAACAGCCGATATAGGTAGTACCAGCAGCTTAACCACGCTCATGCTTATTAGTGTATACGATTTTGGTTGATTTCAGAAATGTTTCTAAGATTTATAAAATATTCATGCAGTGAAAGGGAAAAAACTTCAAGCACAACAACTACGATTAATCGATGATTTTCAATCAATTATTGTGACATAGTAATTTACCGTAGATTTAAATTGCTCCGTCTTCTAATATATTATTAAAGATAAGGTTATTTGACGAGAAGCAGGGCAAATAATATATTTTTGATATTAGCTTTTTTTTTGTTATTTTTTTTTACTTTTTTCTATGTGTAAGACGACTTTCTTAACTATTCAAATATTTCAATGACTCATACTCTGTCGATACTATTTTTTTTAATGTTCTTTTCTCTCATAGAAACTATAAAGAGAGGTAAGAAGCACAAAAATAAAAACAAAAATGTCTTCAACAAATAACCAGCATATAGCTCGATTCGTAAGCGAGCTAAAGACTGGTTCACTATTAACAAAAAGAAAACCTAATGGTGATCAATATTCTCGTCACTTCTTTCTTGATGAATATGAACATTTTATATCTTATCATCAATCTGAAAAAGTATTTGCACAACCAAATCGTTGTAAGTATTAATAGGACATTTTCATTTTCTTTTTTTTTTGTTCAAAATTATAAATTATTTCAAGAAGTAAAGAAAGGAGGTCGTTAATCGATGAAATCGATCACCTTCCAATATACAATTCGAATGTCGAAAGCCAATTGTTGTTTGGATTAGACGGTTAGACTTCATTCGGACTACGTGCGACTCACTCAAAACTCGATATTATCTATATTTTACAGGTTCATGCTATGTATTGTTTCTACGAAAACTTTTCTTCTTGTCTTCAACTCTTTCAATTTGATCAAATGTTAAATGAAAACTCCTTTTTTTTGTCCTTCTATTGAATGACATATAGGAGTATGTCAAAACTTTGTTCTTTTACTTTTTTCTTTAAATGACGCCGTTCGCTTGTATGTACAATATGACCCATGTAAAAAAAAAATGATACGAAAAGATGGATTCTAAATCATTTAATCGCATACATCTTTAATTCATTATAATCAAAAAGTACTCAAAATTTCATCGATTACTCCAATTACTTCTCATTAAAATCATATAGAAATCGCTTATAATTAATGTAAAAACAAACAAATGGATGAAAATTTTACTGCTTATAATCACACAAAATCGATTAAAAATCGTTTTTTTTAAAATTTTTATATGATTTCTGTTTACATGAGAAGGATACACATTAAAAAAAAAACTTCTTCACTATTGGCCTGTGAAAACTGTGATTCACTTCGAATTATATATCATTGGATAGACTTTTCAAAGTTCTACAAAATGATTATGTTACATTAAGCTCAATTTGTGATCAAGACACTTTAGTCAAAAGTACAATATTCAAGAGCTATATTTGAAATTAGCATTAAAAAAATCTGAGTTGATCTATATGTGTCATAAAATCCTCTGATAACTTTTATTTTCGTCCAAAAATATAGCTCTAGCCTTTATCAAGGTTATATTAGAACATAAAGTCAGTCAAAATATCAGTTTTACTATGAAAAGTCACTTCTAAATTTTTAAAGATCTAGCAAAATCCAAAGCGACGGATCAATAAATAATAAAAATGATGTTTCGGCTGATTTTATTTTTCGACATAACCTTGAGGAAAAATAAAGATAAAGTTTTGGACGAAAATGAAAGTTATCAGACGATTTTACGATACATATTGATCAACTCAGTTTTTTATATTGTATCCAAATAGATTATTTATTTTGATAAGCAACGTGGTTATTATGACTAAAATCAACCAAAAAGAGTAATTTTTGGCACTCTTAAACATTGTGCGTTTGACTAAAGTGTCTTGACCACAAGTTGAACTTAACGCAATAATTTCATTTTGTAGAGCTTTGAAAAGCCTTTTACTATAGATACAAACGAACAATGTCATTTAAAAGAAAAAGAGAAAGAAAAAATATCGGTAATATCGAGTTTTGAATCAGACGCGCACAGTCGGAATGTCTAATTCGAACGGCAATCGACTGCTGACATCAGAATTGACTATTAGGAAAATAAGAGATTCAGTCTAGAGCAAGGAGGAGTGGATATACAATTTCATCACTTAACGATTTTCCTTCTTTGTTGCATAAAGTCTTAAGAGAATAGACTAGTGAAGTAGTTTGATTTTAAACAACTAAACGTATAAGTTTAAATGACAATTTATTTAGAGTAAATTGAGATTTGTAAACTATTTTGCAAGGTTGCTATTTGAAAAATGAAATAATAATTATATTTATTATTTTTTTAACTGAGAAAACTGATGTCTATATTTTAAACGTAGATTATATTCATAAAATTAATGAAATTCGTCCTGGTTTGCAAACACGAACATTTGATCGACTTTTCAGACATAAGATTGTCGAACAAGAGGATGTAAGTAACTAAATTTGATTACATTGTATAATATTTTAGTAGATGTTCTATAAACAATTCAGTTGTTTTATCTTTAAATTAATCTCTATTATTTTTCAATAAACAAACAAAAATTTCGTAGTACACCTGTGTCTACAACCCTGTATAATATATGAAATGACGAATATTGATGGCATATTTGTCTATAAAGTCCAATTGTAAATCTCTTAGATTTTCAAACCAAAATCTATATCTTAATAAATTTTTTACTATGAATTCTATTGTATTCTATATTGATTAATTTAATATATTAAAGAGTGTGACTAGTATAGTATAGATATTTATTGTTTACATATATATACATATGTTTCTAAAATGAATGACATATAGGAAAAACGTGCTTTCTCTCTCTTCTACAATAATTATCGAGATGAACTTCATTTAATGGCAAATGATGGACAGACGAGAGATGCATGGATACAAGCTTTACAACATCTGATACATACACATACTCAAAGGCGCCAACGACATGTCATTACCGAAACAAAGTAAGAAACAAATTCATATTATTTTATACGTTAGTAATATTCATAAGTAAAATATTTTATTTTATTAAATAATATGATATATATATATTCGTTTGTTTAATTCTTTTTTTTTAAATTTATCTGTATCTGCTTTCAGTAACATAAAATGAAAATAATAATGATAAGTGGAGATATGCGACAAAATCATCAAGGATAGATACTGAAGAACTCTTGCTTATACTTTTATTTATTTTACGGATTATCCAATCTTCTCATATGTACCTCGTATACACATTGATGTTAAATATTGTATCACTTTCATCAAAAAGAAAACATTCATATAATCGTAGAAAAAAACTTTTCACATGATGAAACGAACATTAATATGAATGTTTATTGATTAAAATAGCCATTTAAATCAAGCAAATACAATGAGTTTGATACTTAATTAAATGCATAGAATTACATTGATGAAAATGTGTGTTTCATCAACTAAAATGTTTTTTTTTTGATTCTTTGAATCCATGGGAAGATGAGAGATAGAAAATGAATACGTTAATTAGTAAATGTGCAAGATTTATCGTACACAAAGTCACGAATACGAATAGAACTAAAGTGAGCTTACCATATTTTCACAGAAACTCGAACAATAAAAGTAGATGGTTTTACAAGTGACAGTCAGTGAATTTCGTAGCATATCATACTAAAAATTTTCATTCAAGAATCCTTATTGTCGTTTACTTTTTGATCATATGATATTATAGTGGTCTTTAAAAATTGATCAGAGATAATTTATTTTATTCATATCTCAAATAAAAATACAAAGTACTTTTTCCGTACTTAAGTAAAAGTACAAAAGTATTTTTTTTTGTGAAATACGATCTAAAAAGAGTATTGAAGTATATAGAGTAAAAATTTACACCTTTCCTCTCCCCTGCAGACTGTGACAGACGCTAGTCCGAGACTGTCATAGGCTAGGACAAACATCTTAGCAACTCTTCCTCCGTTAATAATCGTGCCAGACGTTGCTGATACCTCTAGACCCAAAGGATAGGATCTGAAATAGAAATCCACCTGTGTCTGTCTACAATATGTGATATAAGTGACCGCAATGATGATACAAAGGACCATATCGATGGTAAACAGACTCATAGCAGGCGGTACAAGTGACTAAAGTCATGGTCAAAGGATCATATCAATGGTACAAATGCGCACAGTCATGTTATGAAGGACCATATCGATGGTCCACAAAGTCGCAGTCATAGTACAAGTGACCACATCGGGGGTACAAAGACCCATAGTCATGGTACAAGTGACTATATTGATGACACAATGGACCTTATCGATGGTATAAATAACCAGATATTTGGGCACTTGTGTCAGCTCTTTGGTCAGCGACCAAAGAGAGAGCACAAATAACCGAAAATATTGCAAAAAAGTTTAAAATTTTAGTCCAACTGTGATAAATATGGCCGAAATGACGATAGTTATCATATGGTTATTGTGTTACAGATAGGCAGACACAGGTGAATATCCATTTTTAGACTATTATGTCAGTCTAGGATGAAGCGAATCGACTAACGGTGAGCGTTACTTGTATCAATAATGTCTCGTTATAATAAATGAACAACTTCCTTATTGAATTTCTGAAGGATTAAGTAAAAGAATAATGAAGATATTGGGTCCTAAACTATATAGAATAAAATAGTCTATCTGTAATTAGCAGAAGCAGCTACATTGTGTTTTCCATTTTAATCCCGTAGAGATAGTGCTAACACCTTTCTTACTCAAGTACCAGTACAATACTTCTATTTTCGGTAGTTGTATTTGTTCTATTTCTGAATAGAACATATACAAATGAAGACAGAATTTTTGAAAATGAAAAATATAATTAATAATAATTCTTTGTTTTTATTTTAAACATAAAAATTGTATTGCTATATGCTTGAACAGAATATACGGGAAAATGAGAAAAAAAAACAAAAAGTTTTTTGTATTTCTCTCGAATAATTTTACTATACTATAATTTCAAGTTACAATTTTTATTCATATTTCTTTTAATTAGTTGGATTTTGAATTATTTTTACTTGGCTGATAAAGATGGATCTGGTACCTTGACAAAAAACGAGTGTCGTCGACTACTTATAGATTCACTCAATGCAAAAGTGTCAAAAAATGCTTTTGAAACACTTTTCAATGTATAGAAAATATGAATTTATCATATTTATCTTATTATTTGATTATATTTTTTAGGCGGCAGATACAAGTGGTGAAGGAGTTTTGACACCTGATGAATTTGTAAATTTATTCTATGCACTTACTCGTCGTAAAGATCTTTATGCGATAATGCAACAGTAAGTGAATAAATATAATTTAATCATTTAAATTAAAATTGATTAGTAAAGATATGTCAAAAATGGTCATAAACAATCTATGGATACGATTCGTATGAATATTGATGAACTTTTATATTTTCTTCGAAATATTCAAAATGTAAATTAATTCAATTTTATTTATTTATTTATATAAAAAGTAATATCTTTTTTGTTGTTTTTTTTCTCTATTTAGCAAACAATAATAAAATATCAATCAGATGAATGTACATCTGATTATTCACTTGTTTCAGTTACTGAACGTGAACAAGTACAAGAATTAATTAATGAATTTGAAACAGATGTTGAATTACAAGAAAAAGGTCAACTTAGTCTTAATGGTTTGTATTGTTTACAAAGAATGAATATTTATTTCATACGTAAAATAGATTCATAAATAGAAACTAAGATCTTCTCTCTCCTCCAAAATCGATTTTCGATATAGTCTATGGGATTTGCATGAAACTTTCTGAAAATACACTAATAAAAAAATTCTCAAGACTCTAAACCTTAGTGCTTAGGAAATTTTCAGAAACCATAGTAAAAATCTTTTTTCAATATACTTCAAAACTACAGCGCTTGGGCTACTCTCATTTCAAAGAGAACTTCTTATTCCTTCGAATAAGAGAAAGAATTTTTTTTATTTCATTTTTGGGATTCTTAAAATCTTAAAACTCAAAAAACCGTAGACGATGTTTTCTAGAAAGTTCATGATTGCTTTGGTATTAAAGGTCGAATATAAAATTTCTTTCCCTTATACGAGAGAGAATGCATCTATCAATCTATCGAATAAATAAACCACACTTCACTAGAACGAATTTTATCGAAAAGAAACATGTTCAGAGTTCAACAATTTATACAGAAAGCTGTTAGCACCATCCTTGTGAGATTCAAATATGAAACACTATTTAGCTGCTGTTGTTAATCATAGAGAGATTGTTTAATTTTACCCATTTTGGAACTCATTTCTCCATCATCCTTTTACTTAATTCTCGAAAAATTCAATAAGGAAATGGATCATATATCATAACAAGTCGTTATTGATACGTGGTCTGTGATCGTAATCGACAAAAAACACGTGAACTTTTTTTTCTGTATATTTACCTGAAGAACTTTCTGACATGAGCATCAAATATGGTTACTTAAGTACCAATTAAAAATTCATCTACAGTCTTATCGAGTGATTTCCTATCTACATGTTGGACTATGGTAAGAGGTCATAACTGCAATAATGCTTTTAATTTTTCGATGGATATGGTATAGGTCTTTTCGTTGGAGAATTCTAGAAACTCATCATTATTTCTGAAGAAATCTTTTAGAATTGAAATTCATTTTTAGAAATTTTCAAACTATCGTCCGTTTCAAAATAGAAGGCAGGCTGCTATTTTCTGAATAACTTTCGCTCAGTACAAGATATAGATCTGGGATTTTCACCGTTCGAAAGAGCGATGTCTAAACCATCGATCGGGATAGAACTCATTAAGGCGAAAGCTGCTTTTTTTATAGGTACTTTTCATCACTTTTCACAAAAATCTCAAGTTAAAATGTAGCTCAAATCATCCTTTTTCTCGGTATAAAATTAATATTAGTTTTTTAAAATCCGCTTAGAATAAGAAGTTGAGAGATAATGTAATATGTGATAATTTTATAGCGAAAAAAAGGGTAATTTGAGACACATTTTGGTATAATTTGACTTGAGATTATTGTAAACAGTGATGAAAATATTCAAAGGCAAAAGTGTTGATTCAAAAGTGCTTATAAAAAAAAAACATCTTTCGTCTTAATGAGGTCTACAATATAAAAAATGTTATATAAAAGTCACAAATCGATTTTTAATCGATTACAAATCATACACCTTTAATTAATTACAGTCAAAATATCGAAATTTCATCGACTATTCTGATTATTTTTCATTAAAACCTATTTAAAATTATACCATATTTTTTTTATTATAATCAGTTTTTTTACATGGGCTATATATTTATCTAAAAAAGTCCTTTTTTTTTAGAATGAAGATGTCTTAAAGAGAAATAAAAAAATGATTTAATTGTAGGCTTTAGAAACTTATTATTATCCGACGAGTTTTCTGTGATGAAACCATGGTGTTCTCGTCATATTTATCAAGATATGACAAGGTATATTAATGAAAATAAATCTTTAAATAATAATTTTCTTATTATTTTCATTTTTTAGACCATTGAGTGATTATTATATAAACACATCACATAATACGTATGATTAAATTATCTTTTTTAAAATAATAAAATAATATTTGATTTTTATTTTAGTTATCTATTTAATAATCAAATATCTGGAACTAGTAATCCTGAAGCATACAATCGAGTATTATGTTCAGGTTGTCGTGCAGTTGAAATTGATTGTTATGATGGTGCTAATGGTCGACCAATAGTTAAACATGGCTATACACTTGTTCAACCATGTTTATTTGAATCAATTATTCGTTTTATAGAACCAAATCTTTTTAAAATATCACCATATCCAGTTATACTTGATCTTGAAAATCATTGTTCAATTGAACAACAACATGAAATGGCTCGTATTTTAAAACAAGTTTTTGGAGGTAAATTTTATAATAATTAAATCTAAATAAAAATCTTATTTTTTTCGAAAAGATCGATTAATAACTGAACCATTATCTACAAATGATTCATCAGTATTACCATCACCAGAAGATTTGAAATATAAAGTTCTTGTTCGAGTAAATTAATATTTTCAGATAAATAAATTTATGACGATATATATATATATTTATATTATATAATAATTGTATATTAGGGTGTAAAAATACCAAAAGCGACAACACTTTTTAAATTAATCGAACTAGGAGAAATTGATTATGGTAACAATCCTCTCAATCCACAAAGCAAATTATGTTTATTTATTGTTGTTTTAATCATTATTTATTTTTAAAATTTTTATTTTAGGTTATTGAACATGATTTAGCTGGACTTTTTATTTATTTTCAAAATATACCCTTCCTTCCGAATGAAAATGATAAAGATAATTGTGAGTAAAAAAAAAAAAAAAAAAAAAAAAAAAGTATTTTTCTCTATAAAAATAAATCTTTTAATAGATTCATGTTGTCATTCACCAAATCTTTCTGAAAAACATTTCGATCGAATATTAGAAAATGATCCATTAGATTTAATTAAACAAACAGGAAAAAGTGTATTTCGAATGTATCCACATGGTTTAAGACAAGATTCAAGTAATCCTGATCCAATAAATGCTTGGAATTTTGGTATTCATATGGTTGCATTAAATTTTCAACATGATGATTTAATGATGTCATTATCATATGGAAAATTTATTGATAATGGTGGATGTGGTTATATACTTAAACCAAAATATTTAATTAATGCATATAAAATAAATTTTAATCCATTTGATTATTTAAAAAAACCATTAATGTTACCAGATAATATTATTGAACATCCTCAACGTTTAACAATAACAATAATTAGTGGTCAATTTTTATCTCGATCAAATGAAACAACACAAGATATTCCAGATCCATATGTTGTTGTATCAACACATGGAATATTATGTGATCAACAAACACAAAAAACAAAATTTATAGAAAATAATGGATTTGATCCATTATGGAATGAAACATTTCAATTTAATATTTGTTTTCCACAAATGTGTCTTGTTCGTTTTGATGTATATGATTATGATGTATTTACAAAAGATGATAGAATTGCTTATTTTTGTTTACCAATGACAACTATGCAAACAGGTAATTATTTAATGAAATTAATTATCAAAATTTTTCTTTTTTTTTTTAATTTGAATTTTATCTCTAGGATATCGTCATGTTCATTTGAGAACAAAACATAATAATCTAACTTATTCAACATTGTTCATACATGTTACTATTGAAAACAATTAAGATTTATACAGTTTTTTGTTTTTGTTGCAAAACTTTCTAATTTGCATGTATCTTATATGAACTTACTAACACTGCACTCTATATTATGTACATGCCATTCTTTTCAAATACTAATTTTCTATATATTTTATTAAACTTATTTATATAGAATAAAAGAGTAAAAGAAGACCAGGAGATAGCATACATGTCAAATTTGAAAGTTGAATTCAATTATTCAATAA